TCCAGGCTCTGAGCCATCAGCCCAGAGCCCAATGCGGGGCTCGAACTCACGGACCGCGAGATTGTGACCTGGCTGAAGTCGGACGCTTAACCGACTGCGCCACCCAGGCGCCCCTACAATTTTACTTTCTATAGTACAACCTAATATTTATCCTGAACCTCATTCCATCAGAGTGGATGAAAATGTACTATTAGACTTCCTTGGGGTTTCTCTCCCTACCCGACCCTAATTGCTGCTGCATTTCTTGGGTAAAGTGCTTGGGAACAGGGCCTATCTGGTTCCTGGTCATCAACCCACACAGGTTGCTGCAGAGGTTTTTACCTTTGTACTAGTGCAGCAGCTCTATATTTCATGCCATAGTTAAGGCACAAGAAAACTTTTGTCAGGCTAATGCTGAACTCTCTGCCTAGAAGAATAAGTTGCTAAGGATTTGGTCTGCATGGTATTGACGAACATAGGTTATTCATTCCCTTTCTGGCTCAGAGTCTCTCATAAGGTTGCAGTCAAATGTCAGCAGGAGTTGCAGTCATCCAAAGACTTGACTGGCGCTGGAGGAATTCCAAGGTGGCTCACTCATAAAGCTGACAATTAGGTGCTAGCTGTTAGCTTGGAGGCCTGAGTTCCTCTGCATGTGGGGTCCTCCTTAAGGCTGCTTGAATGTCCTCACAGTATGAGAGCTGGCTTCTTCTTTTTCTCTTTCAGAGTGAGAAATCACAGTGACAAGGAGAGCTAGATGGAAACTCTCTTTACAACTTATCCCCCTAAGTCACATAGCAATCACTTCCTTTAATGACAGCCTATTCCAAGGCTCCTGCTTTGGGTTGTGTGCCTCAGAGGGCCTCATACTTTGGAAGGCCTTCCTGAAAATTTTCTAGGTATCCCTTATGTGCCTGGAACCAGCCAGGGCCAGCAGTGCTATCAAAGCTGAGCCCAAGCCAGGCCCTGAATGAGCTCTTGTCCCAGTTTCTCTCCTTCATGGAATTCCCCAATCCCAGGTTGCCTGAGGAACTCTGGAACTCATGTCTATAGGGTTATCCCAAGGCCCTGAGACCAGGTCTCAATTTTAAGAGAGCATCTTGATGAGCCAACTACTCTTACTGGCCAGTACAGTATTCCTTTTGGGGAATCAAGTGAGATTGAGTCTCCAGGTTGGCACTGACAAGTCTATTTGTGGTCGCATAGAAGACAAGTTCAGGCCTCTGGACTACAAACAGAACTTCACCAGCTCTTGGACTTGAGTCATGTGTGTGGGTCCCTGTGTTGATCCTTGCCTCTCAGTGTCTGACTGTGGAACTACCTATGGTCCACCAGAGGATGGTAGAGTGGCAGCAGGCTACTTTTCTCCCGTACGTCACCATATACCACCAGTCCCACTGCCTACCCCCCCCCCCCCAACACTGGCACCCAGGGAAGGAACTCCATTCCCTCCAAGGACCCTAGGACATAAATCAGGCAGTCATCTGAAAGTAGCCCCACCCTTCTCCTCCAATATCATTTCGAGGTGCTTTTGAGACTGTCACTTCAAAGTACCAACAGGCCCTTCCCAACTGATGTCTTCTTTTGCTTCTGAATGATGTCGTGATAAAATGCCCTCCCCATGTCAGTCTTAAGTCATGCCATATGAAATACGCACAAATGGCATCATTCCTCTTGCTGCACCCATGGATCCCTAACATATATTCCCTGTTGGTGGTATGTGGAAGACAGCAATGAGGTCAACATTGAAAGAGATCACAGTCTGGGAATGCTGTGATTATAGTTTACAGAATATAAGAGAAGACATGGTTGGAAGAGGTATTGTTCCATGTTTACGGTATAAAATTCTGGACGAAAATTTAACATGACCATACAAAAAACTATTGTTCAAAATTTCCTGCATACTGTGGGTAAGACTTCCATTTCTGGTCATTATCAAGAGAGTACAGTAATAATCTTTGAGAGTCATGGGCAACATGATGAATGATAAGGTGTCATGAGTAATGATATAACCAGGAGTAAAATAAATAGTATAGAAGAACTACATCTTTATTGTTTCAATATAAAAAGTTTCCAAGGAGCCATGGTATTGTGTTAATAGTGTTACTACGTTTTCTCCTGGTAGGAGATATGAAATTAGCCA